GTAACATTGTGCGGATAATGCAGCAGCTGTTGCTGGAGTTGCTTCGCTGCTTCTGAGTAACTGCAAATAAGACCAGTGCTGCATAAAAGTAAAGCAAAAGAAACAGGCATAATAGTAATATATAGACAGATAAAAGGGAATGGAAGTTTTTTTGTATATACGTGTTTTTGTGTTGTATATTATACATGTATATGAGTGTTATTGGTGGCTTGTGTAAATTCGGCCGAAGCCGAACTGTCTTATATCCAACCGTTGTATACAATGTGAAAATGGGCCGAACTACAAAATACTAAAATACGATGCGGCTTAGCCCGGTGAGCTAGGCTGCGAACATGATTTGAAATCCTATTGACTCGGAGTCGTGCTAGAAAAATTGTTGCGGTGAAGGATTAAAGGAGGGAGGTGTGATAAGAGAACTAGATTGTAAGGCTTATGATATATAGCATGAAACCGTATGTGATGGTGTAGATTTATATAAAAAAGAATAAAAAACTAATATTTATGTAGTAGAAACTATTATAAAATTAATCTGAAATATAAGAAACCAATATAGGAAGGTAATATAAAAAGGAACTAAAATTTATATATGAAGTTATACATTGTATATAAGGAGCTAGCATTTTTTTTCAAGCTTCTTTCCTATAAAATGTATGCAGACCAGGATTAATTAGAAGCATGCAATTTAAGACGAATTGAAGAACCCGGCATAGATGCGCTCAGCAGGTGAGAGCATCCCAGTAACAGTACCAAGATCGGACAAAAAAAGAACTGCTGGGGCAGTAATTTTGGTAGTTTTTGCAAGTTTACAAAATTACCAAATATATTAGGTTAAGTCATCACAGAGAGAGGGAAAAGTATTTTTTCTAAACGTAAATAAATGAGAAGTTGCGAAACGCGAAATACCATTCTGACAGGAGAAAGGAAACTAGCGACAAAGCAACAATCAAACGAGCGATCAGTCTTGATTCATGAGCGTGTTCGCAACGATACTTGGGACTACATACACTCTGTTACGTAAAATTTGTTCCTAAAAATGAATTTTTTCTGAGGAACCAGTTCACAAACAGACCTCGGATCACTGAGCACTTGCTGGAGTGCTTCTGTCACAGTTTCCACATTGATATGCTTTTTGTTCAGATAAATTCCAATATTTTTTCTCAGCGCAATAGCTGTATTGTAATGCTGGTCAGCGAATATCGGTATGCAAATGACCGGTATTCCAGCAAATGCTGCTTCACTGAGACTGTTCATGCCGGCATGCGTTATGAATGCTTTCGTTTTCGGATGATCTGAAGTAGTTTTTAAATGTTCAAAGAAATGGCACGGTAATGAACAAATGCACTGCTGATTCTAATAAGTGACAGTGCTATCAGTAGTTTTGAAAGGGACATTTCAAAAATATACCCAGGCTGGAACGCACCAGGCAGGCCGGAGCGATAATGCGTTTTTGCACTTTCGTGCCGTAGCAAGATCGCAAGGAGT